CCCCCCCCCCCCCTAAAAAAAAAAAAAATTATAGTGCACATTGCCTTGATATTTGTGCACATGAAAAAATTCATTCCTCACATGGATTGAAAAAATTAGAGGTAACATTGTTTGTAGCCAAAGTATTAATAACAAGTAACATTGTGGACCAATGTTTTGTTATCATTAAATGTTTGGCAGTATATTGTCTCATTGGATTGGACTTTATTAAGCAAAACAAAGCTGTCCTAAACTTTTTTCACAAATGTTTTTGAATTAAATGTGCCATCTGTTAGTTGTAACTTCAAGGCTGAAAAGTACTAATCAAAGAAGTACAGTATTCACATTTGAAAGATAAAGAAGATGAACAATTAAAACAACTTGTATTGAAATATGCAGATATTTTTAACAATAAACCTGGCCTCACAGATTTTCTGAACATAGTATTGTAACTTCAAGGCTGAAAAGTACTAATCAAAGAAGTACAGTATTCACATTTGAAAGATAAAGAAGATGAACAATTAAAACAACTTGTATTGAAATATGCAGATATTTTTAACAATAAACCTGGCCTCACAGATTTTCTGAACATAGTATTGTAACCACTAATGAAAAGCCAGTGTTTAGTGAACCTCATTGCTAGTCTCCCACTAAATTACAAGTGCTACATGGTCAAGAAGAAAACTAATGATATTAGGTTCTGAACATTAAATGAAGTATCAGAATCTGACTGTTATCCATATAACTGATATTTTGAATGCTTTGTCAGGTGTGACCTGTATCAGTATGTTAGATTTATGCAGTGGATATTGACAAATACCTGCAAAAAGGGAGGATTGATATAACACTGCTTTTATAATATGTAAAAACATGTTGATGTCCTCTTTAATACATTCCACATTTGCATATGTTTTCCCATTAAGATTGTGCTGCTGCCAACAAAAAAGATGGTAACCAGATGGTGCCATATCTGGAGAATATGGTAGGTGGGAGAAAACTTCCCAACCCAACTCCATAATCTTGTGTTGCATCAAACATGCCACACGTGGACATGCATTTTCGTGGAGAAGAAGAACACCTTTCTGATTGATGAGTTCACATGCATCACATGCCAGAAGAGACGAAGTAATGTTCACATGTTGGAAATGTTGATCATCGGATAGTTCGTCAAGCACCCAAACACCTTCTTTATGGAGTTTTCCCATATTTCCTAGTTGTTTGCGTATTGTTTCATAAGAGACATGCAATTTCAGGGTCATTTCACGAGTGTGTTGCCTTGGGTTAGATTCAAAAAAGCGTATTCAGAGCATCAATATCAATTCCAACATGTCGGCTCCTGCCTGAACAAATTTTGCTGAACCATCATTAACACTTATGACCATTCAAAACATTTCTATAAACTTTTTTGTGGCTACAGAGGCATTGTTTCCCTTCTTGTATTCAAAGAGCATTACATGCCGAATGTGTGTCTCATTCTGTGCCATCAATATAAGGGATTAGAGTATACTAAACTTTACACATTATATAGGATACACTAATGTGACATTTAGACGGTTCGTTTAACTATTATATGTGATGTACGTTTTTTGATGGGTTGTTAGTGAAAGTGTTCCAAAATGCTACATTAATTTCTTGATGACCTAATGTTAACATTACGATTTCTCATATTTTTTGTTTAATTAAAATTTGTTCAGCCTTGAGTCACAATGGCCCAGTGATTAGGATGGTTGTGTCATGATTTAAGGATTGGAGGTTTAATACTCCTTGTCACAAACTATGTTCCCTCTTTCAACTGTGGGGTGTTATACTAATTTTTGCATTATGGTAAATCTACTAAAGCTATCTGCCACTGTTTGTCATTTTGAGAT